ACAGAACAAAAGACAGGCATCATCCAAAGAAGAGCTTTGAACCCTTCGAAGAGCCTCAAATTAGTCTTTATTTCTACAGTGTTGTTTATCACAACACAGTCGCCTCAAGGCGCTTTATATTGTAAGGTAGACCCTATAATAATAGATACAGAGAAAACCCAACAACCATATGACCCCCATATGGCGACATTGGAAAGGAAAGACTCCCTTTTAACAGGAAGAAACCTCCAGGAAAAACAGGCTCCGGGAGGGGCGGGGCCATCTGCCGCGACCATTTGGGGTGAGAGAATGAAGACTACTTAAAGAAATGACAAGACAGAGAGCCCAGGTTCCTTAGAAGTGTACACACTCAATTTTTAACTTACATGCCGTGTTTTTATTCATGTTTTTCCAGCCCAGAGTGATACCATATATGCCCCATAGCTGCAGAAAAGGCTAACATTGTTATCTTTAAAAAACAAAACAAAAAAAACCAGCTGAACATAAGAGGTTTTTGGACCAATTTTGTGTTTTCCATTCTTTAATCACCGGTTTGAGCACCGTTTAAGCACCGGCACCATTTCAAAAGTACCAGTTTGGCACCGGTATCGGATAAAACCTAAACGATACCCATCCCTAGTTTTAAGATAGCAAGTATGAATTTAACGGCAACAACACATCTTGGAAAAGCTGGGATGTGGGTAAGAAAATCATAGAAGAAATAACTGATACTAAAGCTACAGCTGAAGGAACATTTTACAACTAATAAGGTAAATTTCCAACACTCTGTAACATAACTGGGTTGATGATAGACAGAGATTTGCCAGTATACAAAAAAGTGCATCCACAAAATGTGGCGCAATTTCAGGATAATATTCCTTAACGTAAAATTTCATTACATAAAAACATCAAATGGTTCCAAGACTCTGGAGAAATCTCTGTGTGCAAAACCACGGCCAAAATTTAAAATAAGGTGCTCGTGATGTTTGGGCTCTCAGGTGGCTCTTCATTAAAAACAAGCATGATTCGGAAACACTTCCAGAAATCACTGTCTGTGGACACGGTTCACACAAATGCAGGTTAAGCCTCTGTCAGATGGATAGATGGATACTCCATCTGCCCTCATATCTGGGCCAGAAGTCGTTAAAATGGGCTGAGGCAAAGTGGAAAGCTTTGGGTTAGAGGAATCATAATCTGGAATTCTTTGTGGAAAACATGGACACCACATCCTCTGGACTAAAGAGAAGAGAAACCATCTTGATGTCAAGGTCAGTTCAAAAGTCTGCATTTCTGATGGTTATGAGTGTCTGTGAAATTGGCATTTTGCACATCTAGAAAGGCACCAACAGTGCTGAACAACATATGCTCCCATCCAGATAATGACTTTAAATAGTAAATGGTCTGTATTTGTAAAGCGCTTTACTTGGTCCTAAAGACCCCAAAGCGTTTTACACTATAC